AGATATTAAAACTCTTTTTTATTAAGAAAAAAAAGAAAGAACAGCGAAAAATAGACCTGCTCATCCAGGCCAAGAAAGAACTTTCACGAAATCTGTTGAAGTTAGCCCAAATTTAATAACGAGAAACAAGTTAGTATAATGGGTCCTGTTCGATTTCCATTTTGATGAAATAAACATAATTACACAGTGCTAAAATGGTTTCTCTGAGAATTTTACTCTTTGTTATCGTATAAAAAAAAATGAAAGAGTAACATTCACATGAAAGTTCAGTGCAAAACATTTTTCAGCTCACTTCAAATCTAGCCACAGTTAATTAGTCACCAAGACCGATCGAAGGTATTTTCTAGCAGATCCGGACTAGATCAGATTCAAGTTCCAGAACCTAATTTCGGACTCTGACCAGCTGTGTTAATCTTTGGACATAGCCCATGTAAAACTCTCTGAACTTTGCTTTTCCTGACTCAGCAATATTAGCTATTTTGATGCAGATATCCTAATGAACACATACTGTGGAAATTATAAGTGAGCCACATTTATGTAATTTAAATTTTCTAGTACTTCATATTTTTAAAAATAAAAATAGAACAGATAAATCATTAATTTAAAATGTAATGTTCCTTAACCTAACATATCCCAATTTTAGTATTGTGACATTTGGGTAACATATGTTAATCAATATAAAAAATTAGTAATGAGACATTTCATTTTTTTTCTTTACAATTTTGTGTATAAAACAGTTATGGCACATTAATTTTGAAGGCTTAATATTTATTAGGAGAAAATTGGATCTATAGTTTATATTTAAAGTTATAATTTACTATGTTGAAAAAGATTTATATATCCAAGTCAATCCAAGTATCAGCTTAAAAGATTTTTCCAATCGTATTGAGAAAATGGTCAAGTTTTACATTTAATTAAGTAAGTTTTTTTTTTTTTTTAGAAACCATGTTTTATTTTCCATCCAACCTATATCCATCTTGTTTAAGTAGTTTGGGTAAAGTGAACTTAATGACCTGCCACTGCTCAGACGTCCACCTGAATGAGTGGGACAACCACTGACACGTCTTAATCTTTTACAGTACTCTTAAACATGATGGGATTATAAGTTGTTGATGGAAAAGATAAAATTGAGTTTCTAAAAAAAAAAAACTTTACTTAATTTAGAATGTAAAACTGGACATTTTCTCCATATATCTCTATTGGAAAACTTTTAATAATACTTGGAGTGACTTGGATTGAAGCTAGAATCTTTTTCAACTGTAAATTATATTTGAATATAAATGAGAGATCATTTTCCAATAAATTTATTTTCTGATATATTATGACCCTCAAAATGTAAATGTGCCTCCACATATACCAGATTTATATAAACACATACTGTAAAGGTATAAAGATAATCATTAGAAGATTGTCGATCAATTGATCTGAAAGTATTTCTGTATTTGATACATTTAGCGAAATTTAGAGGAAATTACAACTACTGATTTGAGTTTATAGAATATGTCAATAATTGGTTAGAGAAGAATATATATTATGTATAGTTGTATATATGTGAATATATACTGAAAAAAATTTATTTTAGTATATATAGAAAATATATATATTTGAATGTTATATATTCATAATATTCATGTATATTGAATATATATATTGAATATCACTTGGCATGTATATATTCAATATACTAATATGTAATATAATGGACACTTTAAAATATTACTATTTTTTGAAGACGTCTCGCTATTCAATATATATTGAATATATTGAAATAAATAATTCATATATTCCAATATATATTGAATGTAGTTGAAAATATGCTTGAATATATTGATATATACGTATTGAATATATGTTGACATATAATACTGGAATATATATATTATATATATTGAATGCGGTATTGAAAAAATTTATATATATATAAAAGAGGAAAAAAAAAAAAAATTTATTTTCTTGTTTTTTTTTTTTTTGAGGCAGGGTCCTCACTCTGTTGTTTCCAGGCTAGAGTGATTCCGTGGCGTCAGCCTGGCTCATCAGCAACCTCAATCTCCGGGGCTCTAGCGATCCCCTCCTGCCTCCAGCCTCACCAGAGTGGCTGGGACTACAGGCCATGCGCCACCACGCCTGGCTATTTTTTGTATATATATTTTAAGTTGGTCAATGTAATTTATTTCTATTGTTTGGCTGAGCAGACGGGGTCTTCCGCTCAGGCTGGTTTCAAACTCCTGACACTCGAGCAATCCCCCCCGTCGGCTCCAAAGTGACTAGGATGACAGGCGTGAGCCACCGCGCCGCCTGAAAAAATATATCTTTAATATATTTTTTAAATATATAAAATATATTTTTTTCAAGGCCGGGCGCGGTGGCTCACGCTGTCATCCTAGCACCTTTGGGGAAGCCGAGGCGGGGGATTGCTCGAGGCTCAGGAGTTTGAACCAGCTGAGGCGAGACCCGCCGTCTCGTACCGAAAAATAGAAATAAATTAATTGACCAACTAAAAATATATATATCAAAAAATGTAGCAACCAGGCGTCGGTGGCGTCATGCCTGTAGTCCCAGCCCACTCGCGAGGGCTGAGGCAGGAGAGATCGCTGGGCCCCGGAGATTGAGCAGGTTGCCTGTTGAGCCAGGCTGACGCCACGGAACTCACTGCTACGCTCTGGGACAAACAGAGTGAGACCCTGCCTCAAAAAAAGAAAAAAAAAAAAATATATATATATATATAAATTTTTTCCAATACGCATTCAATATATATAATATATATTCAATATATATTCAACATATATTCAATA